ACATCAATCGAAAGGATTTGACCTCCTGAGTACAAAACTGTAATTAGATCTCAAATCAGTCAAGAGATCAAGGAGCTATGAGCTAAAAGTTTGTACTTGGTAAAAAAATAAATAAAAAACAACAACAACTCGGAGCCATTCTATGAACCGCCATACCACGGCTAAAAACTATATGCACAAATTTTAACTAATGAAATTCATACAACAAACACACTTACGAAAAAAGTACTTTAAATAAAGATAGAATAATTACTAATTTAAAGAAAGCTATTAAAAATGGAATATTAATGTACTCTTTTTGCTTTAACCTACCATTTTTATACAAAAATCTAAATTCAAAATCATATATTTACATGCTACTGAGTTTGCCCAAATCGTAAGAACTACTAAATATATATATTTTTTAAGAATGTCGAGATTAGAAAAATATTAAAAATTATTATTATAGCTCAATGCATTTGAATTGAAGGGTATATGTCACCAAACTCAGTTATAATTATTCTTATAACCAGTTATCCTAAACAGCTTTTGATGACTTTACTAGCCTGTTTTGTATAAATGTTGTTATCCCGATCAGCTTTTGGCGACTTACTAGCCTGTTGTATATAAATTTTGTTATTCCTGAACAGCTTTTGATGGCTTTACAAGCCTTTTCTATATAAATGTTGACTTTTATGAGCTTTATTGGTAATCATGCGTTGTTTAGCGAAACACAGATATATAAGAGTCCAGTAAATACATCTGAGGATGGTTCTCAGGAGAGTTTAAAGCTAGTAGTTTTGTACTCGTACCATTCAAAATGGTGCAAACGTTGACGTAAGTTTCATGCAAATTGCAACTCTTTCAGTGTACCTACATCATTGAAAATGATGCACGTAAGTTTCGTTTATATCGCAGCTCTATTGGTGTACCCACATTTATGGACAACATGATGCACAGCTCTCACATGTTCTGCCTGTTTATTAGTGTACAAGTAATCTCAATTAAGACACCGTATGTGAATGTATGAGCAAGATAAATTATACCCCAACAGGTGTATGATCGTCGTGCTCCATTAGTACTTACGTTAGACAATTTAGTATTAAAATCTCCATACAATAAGGTGTAAAAATAAACAGCTCAGAATTGACTAGATTGACTCTAGATAGATTGACATATGTATAAAGATAGAAATACACTTCTTTATACTCACCCAGCCTAATTTCAGTTTTTTTTCTGAGCTCTTTTATCTTCAGTTCTCCAATTTTGTAGGCACAAGCCTAAATAAAGACATTACTAATATAGAATGTATATATATATATATATATAAAAGCTAAAAATTAAAGATAATACATCATAATCAAGGAAAGCGCGAATCTTACGCAACATATTCAAACCTTAGATGAAATACAAGTAAAGTAATAAAAAAAAAATAATCTTGGTTATGTGAGGCGAAGTTGAAGTTAAACTGGATAGACGGTGTACCTCCAATGCAATTTGGGTCTCAATTCCCCCAGTTCCTCTAAAAACCAGGGCACATTACATAATGCTTGTATTGTGACTGCGATTTTTTTTTACTTACGTGAAGTTACATTACTTTATATGTATAGTCAGAGCACAAATACACTAACAAACCTCCATAAAATCAGTTTATAATTTAAAGATATAAATATATATATGAACAGTATTGAAAACCAAATATTTTCCCACTTAGCAGAAAACAGAAAGCCAGCGAAAGTAATATATCAATGCTACAAAATAGTCTCAATGTGGCACATAGATTGTCAGTGTTGAAACACAAAGTTTTGCTTATAACACTGTTATTAAACATGATAGTGTCATGTGCAGAAAATACTGAGCTTCCAAAATGGAAGCAGAAGTCAACTTACCTGACCAGGCCAGGTAATGTAGCGATCAATTTCACCTTCGACGTTTCTTTTAGTAGAAGCTGAGTTTTTCAACATGTAATTAATGGCTTTTTCACGGGTCCAACTGTGTTAAACATTTTTTACTGATTAGTAAAATAGTGTTTTGAATCACCGAAAATACGTACAAAATGTCGATGTTTTGCCCAAAAAATATACTTCTATATTTAAATTGCAATGTAATTGGACTTAAAATATAGCGAGTGAAAATAATTCAAATATTTTCAAGCCAAATTGAAGTATCAAATTTTAGTTAACAAACATAAAAACTGAATTGTAAACTTTTAGTCCACAAAATAATCATCAGAGATATAAAACATGAACCTTGCAGTTAATTTGTTCTTTAACCAAATTGTGCACTCGTGTATTTAAGGATAGAGATATATGCAAGCACTTGATGTTTACAAAAAAAAAAGTAAACATGATATGGCTCTCATATAAAATTAATTACGAAATCGTTTTAGAATATATATATGTATTAATGGAAACTTAATAAAATCGCGGTTTAACTTCACTGACTTTTGCATACAGAAAGTTTGAATTATTGTGTTTTTATAGTTTAACAGCTCGCGAGTCTTTCGTGGTGAAGAGAGTAGCTAAGTTCAGATGGATTCTAGCGAGAACAACTGCTTTAAAAACTATCCTAGTTACAAAAGTTTACTTTTAGCAGTTTGTTTTGTGTATATAATCAGTGCTATTAATTAATCAAAGGTCTGTGCTACAATTACTTAAAAATGACCTGAAATATACAGATCTGCTGTAGAATAGCTTTCATTTGTTTTATCATGAATTCACATGGGGACAGCAACTTAAGGTTCTTCGGCTATAGTACATCCTTATATAGTGAATACCGTTAACAAATTAAGAAATTTACAACAATACTTCCTACTAACAGTGTAATATTTGACGAATAACTCGACTAATCCGATTTATTCATTTATAAATTAAATAAAAAGAAGTGGCGTAGGAAGTGGGGGCAGGGCAGGCCCTCCCATATTTCAATCTGTCCGAGTAAAATGCATCAAGACCAGGAAAATTACTTTCAAAATTCCAGGTCCCTAGGGCGAGTTCTGGACCACGTCCATAATAAGTGCGTCTTTGGTGCACATTTCCTCACTTCGCTGGGTAAGATAGATCTTGGGACCCCAACTTTTAATTTGCCTTCTACTCCCCTGAAAATCATTTTCAAGTGTGCACAATATATATCTATAGAATTCACGGTTTATTTTAATACGGGTAGTCAAAATTAAAAAATATGATATTTTAAATAATTTTGAGTGTGTTGCAACTAATTGAAAGCACAGTAACTCTTATTATGCGATAACTTTAGTTTTGCAACACATGAACTTGGTTTTATTTTTGTAGGATTCGAAATGTTTATCAAGATCCAATAAAATTACAAATTAATTCACAAATGGCCCCCAAAAAGCAAGATTCTCAAATAAAGTGATCTTATTGTCAACCTGTTCCCTAGAGGATATCCAAAGATTGCCAAACGGTAAATAAGAATCTTTGTTTGGAAAGGGAGGAACTTTTTACATGATGTTTATATTAAAAATATTAACTTTTCTCAATATCTCACAGACTTTAATTGTTTAAAACTGTTTGAAAGTAACTATGAACATCTTTCGAGTGTGGGCCAACTTTACGACAATAACGAACTAGAAAATGTTTAAAAAAACTGTTCTGTGGCGAGAAGATGGATTAGTACTGACATTTTTTACCATTTTCTAGTGGCAAGTTGATTTGAATTGTCGTCACGATATTCTTAATCGCTAATAAAAACTGTCAAGTTACCATAGTCGCCTTAACTATATTCAAAGTCAACCATATGTAATGCAATGAATGTAATAAGTAATATATATATATTGGTCTTTGGCTTGCCTAGAATGATTAAATGAAGCCAGATATAATTTGTTTTTGTATGAAAAAATACCTGGTTTGGTATCATAGATTGAAACTGGTATTCTTGTACTATTTGGTTTTGGCGGAACTTCATCACAAGGAATCGAGCTAAGCCTGACGATAAAAGTTTTCTGAAAACGCGGTGAAGCACAAGTTTTTCTAAACGTATCTAAACATTTTAGTTTTTTTATGTTATGATGAAGTAAGAGGAGCTCGTGTAAATGTATGGTGCATGTTTTATAAATAATGGTAAAAACAACACAATTTATATGATCTTGAAAAAAAGAAACAATTTAATGTGACTTACCCAAATGCATGTATTCCAGTGTCGACGACAAGCCTGCAAGCCCGGAATATTTCTTCTGATAAATGACCCAGCCTGAAATATTTATAATTATGAAAAATAATCTATAGGATCATAATTATCTCTCCTTTCCAGAAGTCATTGCATATACAGAGGGTTGAGTTCGTTATATTAAAATGATTTTGAATGCATAACTCGGTAAGCCACGTGACAAACATGGCCGCTATAAAGTGGCTGTAGAATGGAACGTATCAAAACTACGTTTTTGCATTGTTTGGCGTTACATAGTATGATGCCATCAAAAATTCATCGCTTTTGGAATGGGTATGTAGCAGTCTTTTCCGACGCAAGATACTCGTACACTGATCATAAAGACGTGTTCAGTTCGGGGATTTAGAGGATTAGAGACGGGGATATCACTTGTAATTAATGGTATTTGAAAACGAAAGAATAGAGATCAACTTGGGAACCCAGGATCACCCAGAAAGACGCTTACAAGAAGTCGCACTCAGTCATGGTTAGTAAAGTTCAACATCATGTAATAGATGAGAATCCACGAACACAAAGGTTAATGGTAAAATCCACCCACACGCCCCAGGCAACAGTACATATCATAATCAAGAAGGTGTGCACAAGTTTCCTCCACGATACATTCATTCAACTGTCACATACCTTAAGAAGCTGGAGATGAAAGAAGTATTCATGCAGTTTCATACGAATATATAACGGTAAAGTCGCGTATCAATTTCGGTCCGATTGGATTGTTGAAACGGGCGATGGGAAATCGTCGTTCTTGTACACTAATGATTTGTGGAAAACCTCAGGGGGCGGGTAGTGTGCTTTGGACGTTACAGCTTTATGACAGAGACTTTTGCAATAAGAACTATACTGCAGGACTATTGTCGTCAGATATAAAGCATCCCTGGACGTGACGATGTGGATTGTAAAGACGTGGAGAGTCTCTAAAACATTAATATATATCGCCCTGTGAGGACTATATATGCTTTACACGTAGGCTAACTAAGCTTGTATACTTGTATATATAGGAAGTTAAATTGTTTGCTAGAATAGTAGACTGTAACTACCTCAATGGCTGAAGGTTTTCATTTTTAACATTAAGGTTCAAGAAATCTTATTAAAACAGAAAATAAATTTCTTTATTTGGTACAGACCCTGGCTGTGAAACAGAAATGAAAGGTTATCTAGTTACTCAAGCAAAATATGAACGTTTTGACAATTAACAATGAATAGATTTTAAATATACATGCTTGAAATGACTTTTCATTTCAAACTATGATCATTTTCAAAATTATCGAATTCATTATTTCCTAATAAAAAAACTGAACTGATTGCTGGTTTCTTTGTTTATGGCAAAGATGCTAAGACTATCTGCTGCTGTCCCTAACTTTGAATTACCCACCAGAGAAAAGGCAACCGGCCGGAAGCACTCACCGCCAAACTCTTTACATTATAACGCTCACACGACTGAAAGGGCGAGCATTTACGGCGCCAGGTTTCGATCCCACTACCAGTACTTTGTGAGATGAGTGCATTAACCACCAAGCCATGAAATGCCAAAACTGAACTGCCTTAAACTGGACTTTTAGACTAATTTACGTTTATTAACAGTACTTACCTAAAGTAAGGATCTTTGAAGAGATTTAATTCGTTTCCCAAATACTCGCTGTATAAACCCCAACCCTATGGTTAAAAAAAATATATATACTTATTTATATTAAAACATTCTAAGTTCTGCGTACATTTAGTAAACTTTAGAATCAAAGAGGTATGAGATAGACGCCTTTGTTCATTATTACAAAAATTAAGGCGAATATAATTGTCAAATTAAGATTGTTAAATGAAATTAGAATACATCATTTAAAATCATGATTTTCTATGTATAAATTGTATATAAATGATTTTTTTCCGTTGAAGATTTAGACTCATTTCAGAGAATACGAAGAAGATTAACAAACAAAAAAAATTGGAGATTACGGGGAAGACTAATAAACATAAAATATAACTTTGGAGATTACGGGGAAGACTAATAAACATAAAATATAACTTCGGAGATTACGGGGAAGACTAATAAATAAAATAAAACTGATGTAAGTCAGAATACAAGAATAATTCAGATCAAAATTTCCCCCTTTTAAGTAAAAAATTAGATCAAAAAGTAAAATTACACAACATTTAAACTTGTATATATATGATATGTTTACTTTCAGTTCTTTGTTCTGAATCTTTCTCTTTAGTTCTTGTTATTAATTTGATGTGTTTTCCAAAGCATGTGTAAAAATATTAGTTATAATGTGTAAAAATTTAGTTACTACCTGAACCAGATGGATGTTGATCTACCTAGTAGAACATAACCTTTTTCTTACCGTCAAACCTGTCACTGAAATGAAGTTAGCGTCGTCTTTTAACTACTTTGTTCTGGAGGAACAATCTGGCTGTATTTTTTGGAGTGTTAAAGTCACTTCAAGTTAGAAAGCTTATGAATAATTCGGCTGCGATCAGTAGAAGGCTGACTCTGCTTTGAGATCGGGCTATAGAGTATTCCAGAGTTAATGTCAAAATGTACAAAAGAAGAAGTTAATTTCGGAACAATCTTTCGATTTGCTTAGAAGCAGAGTAAAAGAAGTCGTAATTTTTCGAGTTTCTTTCTGTGTGCAAAAGAAATTGAATTAACGATCACAGTAAAATAACACTTTAAAGTGCGTCTAGTTGTATTCACTTACAGTTCAGCACCTTGACGTTTAGATATTAATTAACTGCCATGCTAATAGAATAGGAAAATGGATAGCTACTAATAAAGGGGCGAGTCGAGTATCTAGAAGTACACAGGATAAGGAGAAACAGACTTTAGCAATTAACTCTTCTGTTCCAAGCTATCGTCCGGAAGATATGTTTAGCTAAAGTTGTCTACTCCATATTATTCATCAAATGTTTTCCATTAACAGCAGTTCACAAACATAACACATGTTGATGGAAAGGTTCATTCTTTTTAATTAGGACTGAATAAATCTCTTGAAAATATCAGAAGAAAAAAAATTGGCTTGGAAAGCACCGGGAACAGACAATAATGGTCAATCATTCATTTATTTATTTTGTACTGTTGCTAATACAATGTTCTCGGTGTTTTATTCTGCAGTGTAAGGTAGCTTAGCTCTTCAAGTTGTTTTAACTAGAGGCATATAATTATCGCAATATTGCAGAGTTGTAGAAGTTTTCTTTCAAGAACTAGTCAGGAAAGCTATCATTGATTGGTCTGGAACGTTAAGAACTGGTATATGGCCAAAACTAGACTATATAAAAATGTTATGGTTACTCGTCGTTTTGAAAACTACTGGTTGTCAGGTAAATTAGTATTTTCGGTTTGGAATTTGGCAGTCTGGTAATAACATTAAACACTATTTATATTCATATGCGCGAATAAGTCGATCCAAAGGAATACACTAAGGCTTCGTCTACAACTTTGGACATGGGGAGCCATCGTTTTCCCTCGTACAATATGGTTATGTCCTTTGAGGTCACCACCTTGAGGTCATAGATCAAGGTTGAGAAGTTATGGTCAAAGGTCAAAACGAAGCTGTTCAAATCGTATCTCATTAACTCACTGTCTAAAGTATCTCTCTCTTTTTTTTTTAGTACGATACCTAAAGTTTGTTTTAGAGAAGATTCGAGCGTTTCAGGTGACATTCCGAATTATTGTCTATGAAAAACCGACAAGACATGGGAAAGTGTTTTTTAGTTAGCCTTTGAAAGTTTCAACTATTTATTAATTGATTGGAGTTTACGTTATTAACACGATTTTTAACACTTCTCTGTCAAACCTCACATTGATAGCTCCATGTATATATTATTTCGCGTCTCTCTGATCTAATATCTGGCTACTCCTAGGGATTCTCTGACCAGTAGTCAGAACATTTCAACGTTCATTGGAAATATCATATTTGAAACCTTTTATTGATAATTTACTTTTTATTTATAAACCTGTGAAGCTTATAAAGCCTTAATACTTGTAGATAATTAATGCATTTTATTCATAAGTCAATTAATCAGAAATTGGACATCGTTTATTAAACGCATATTGGGGTGATAAAATAGTTAAGATTCACGATGAAAGTTATCACTGAGGAATATTAAGTTCAACGCATGTTAACTTTAATGTGATCTCTTTGATTGGAGTACTTGTATATAATTGAAGAAATGATTAGTTTTCACGTCCACATGTTACAGGTTTTCTTACAGCTGTCAACATGAATTTATAAATTGCCACCTTATGAGAGGAATTTTATCTTATATGTGAATATTTAATAATTAAAAGACATTCTCTAAATTATAACGTTTAATATTAGCAAAATATCTTAACAACTAATATGCTATAAGATGTCTTCCCGATTCTCTTTCAAATATATGAACCTCAACATAAGATGTATGAAAATATATGCACCTCAACATAAAAATATATGCACCTCAACGTAAGCTGTATGAATGGGAAAATGGGAAGGAACATCTGAATATTTCCGGTATTCAAGAAGTTGCCTGAAAAGTGGTATGTCCGTCCGTTCTTTCATGTAGGAACTCTAAGAAAGAAAGAAAACAAAAACATTTAAGCAATAAGAACGTATGTAAACATCAGCGGCAATAATATTTTTTCATTTGCTATGTTTCTAACGATTAAATATTACTATTGGATCAGGCGGCCCCCCAGTAGCACAGCGGTATGTCTGCGGACTTACAACGCTAGAATCCGGGTTTCGATACTCGTGGTGGCCAGAGCACAGATAGCCCATTGTGAAGCTTTGTGCTTAATTACAAAAAAAATAAATAAAAAACAATTGGATCAGGCTATTTGACTCTGTAGGCAATCAACAACTGTTTCAGTTGACTTATCTCGGTTGCCGGTCGTTAGATTATAAATACATCGATATTTCAAACACGGAAGATGCACAAGTAATGTCAGTTAATGTTTTAAAAACTGGTTTGGTTTGAATTTCGTGCAAAGCTATACAAGGGTTATCTGCTAGCCGTTCCTAATTTAGCAGTGATAGACTAGAGGGAAGGCAGCTAATTAACACCACCAACTCTTGGGCTACTCTTTCACCAACGAATAGTGGGATTGACCGTCACATTATAATATCTAACGTCTCAAAGGGGCGAGCATGTTGAGTGTGACGGGGATTTGAACCCGCAACCCTCAGGCTGTCAGTCGAACGCCCTAACCACCAGACCATGCCTGGTGGTTTTTAAAACTGTCTTACGTGACAAAAGTGTTAACTTGTAACCTTCAGCATTTAATAATAATGTAGAAAGTCTGATTATTTGGGGAAGATTTGTTTGTGGACAGGTCTAACCATGGATTTGGGGAAGGTTTGTTTCTGGACAGGTCTAACCATGGATTTGAGAAATATTACTTTACATTTTACACAATTCTTAAAAATATTGGAGCAAAAACTGAAAGGATGTAAGCAACAGGAATGGCCAATTAATCAGTGAATAAGTTGCGAGAACAAATATGTACACTGAGTGGTCACAAGTAAATAG